CTTCAATAGCAGAATTAATAGGGTCTATCATTCTTTTGTAGGGGGTTGTTTAATTTGACCTGTTATATTGGTTTCAAATGAAAATTGTTGAGTGGATATTCTAAGGCTTTTCATCCACTCCCAATGAAAACCAAGGGACCCTTAACATCTAACTTGTGGAGAAATTTCGCAGGGAATGCCCTGGAGCTAGAGACGTATCTTTCGCTTTGCCATGTTCAGGTTTAGTTAAATTATAAACAGTTTAAAAAAAATCACCATTTCCCTTCTATTGTTTGTGTTCCTCAGAAAATTGTTGGCAGCCTGCACCCAACCATTCTACAGCTGGGCCTATGCTAATGCCAGAGCAGCAGCATCACCTCCCATCACCACCCACTGCACTAGGAACCATGGGAGATGCTGGAGCAAAGAGCAGAGAAGGGAAAAAGAGCCAGGCCAGGCTCTTTGCGACATCTTCCCTGCCCCAGACCCAGCACGTGGCCCCAGTAGCCATCACACCCTCCAGGGTAGCAGCATTCTCCTGCTGCCAGCTATTGTAGTCAAGTCATGTCAATCAAGGTGCAGAAGTCTGTGCTGAAGATTCAAACTTTGCTCAGGAAGTTCTTTTTACAGTTGCATGTAATATAATTTGTTTTTACCTTTTTCCTTCTTTAAAAAAAAAGAATTGGAAAACAGGTTGCAAAGCTGGGCAGCTGAAAGTTAGCTCTGCAACCATAATTCTGCCCCTTTGAGCATAAGTATTATCATCTTTAATTACACATTCACATATTATTCCTCGTTCAGTGCACAGGATGGATCCACAAGGGGACAGAGTTTAGGTTGCAGTGTGTCACAGAGTTAGAGGGGGAGGGGCAATCCAGACCAGTGCGGGGTTGTGTCACCACCTATCCTGTAAGCCTGAGAGCCTCACAATGCTTTGCTGCTGTAGTGCCCAAGCTGGAAGGCTCACAACCAGCCTGCCAGCACGTAGGTCACACCCTGAGTGTCTGTGTGCTTAGACAGATCTGGTTCAGCAGCCTGTCTACAGCCCCAGTCTGGCTTCCACCAGCCTTGGTTACTACTTGCAGGGTGACCTGAACACATTCCCAGTTCCAAGTTTTCCCAAAACCATGTGCTTTGTAATGTCCAGCTCTCCCTTGGAGAGTTCAGAGATACGATAAGGTTTGTTTGTTCCGCTAAAGACAAAACCCACCATCTTGCCATATTAACTGGAGTTAACATTCACTTCAATTCAAACACAGCACTGGTGGTTTAGATCAGTGGTTTTCAACCTGTGGTCCACAGACCCCTGGTGGTCTGCAGACTAAGATTTCCAAAGGGGTCCACACTGCCATTTGAAATTTTGTAGGGGTCCACAAATGAAAAAAGGTTGAAAATCACTGGTTTAGATTAATAGTAAAACAAATATATTTACAAAAGAAGATAGAATTTTAAGTGAGTTCAAGTAAAAGAGAAAAAGATAGAAATAGATACAAGCCAATTAAACTGAAAACACACAACTAAAAGTCTAATGCTTAATCTAACAAGGTACAGGCTTTGTTCAAGATGGTTTCTCACCTATATTAAGTTTCCAGAGACTGGCTCTCTCTCTGGCCCAATGAATATTCAAGTATTTTATACAAAGTCAAACAGCTTCAGTAGGAAAAACTGAGACAGACCCATTCCAGAATAGCCAATTGCCATCAAAAATGGTGCCAACCTCCCCTTGGCTGAAGGACCAATCTTTCTCAGCTTGCAAGAGCTCTGTTCCCTTGTGTCTGTCTAAAGATGGATGCCCAAGATGGCTCCTGTCTTTGCTTATATCTTCCAAAGTTCAGTGATTTTGTTTCAAGAGGCAGGATGACCTCATATTGTTCTTTTCTTCCTGTGGATTTCCCTTCCCCCTGTATGTAAATGAGACTTCTATTGTTTTGATTCTACCATGCTTAATTTACCTAGGAGACAGGAAAATAGCTACCTTCCCTCCTGTCTAGGAGGGAACCTGTTCCTCCCTCTTTGGCCACAGACTTTAAAACATAATATCATTAAGTATACACATTTCCTCATATAGTGTTCCCCATGCATTTCACAATGATATTAATCACCAGGGTGTCATTTGCTTTCAGAAAAACCCCTCACTCTATACACTTTTCTAATACAGTAATATTGTATACAATCACTTGATTCAATTGCTTATCACTTGAGGTTCAGCCCGATTGTTTGGATACCATAGTAAACCTTTGCAATAGATTATTTGAAAAGTAAAAACCAGACCAAGCTTCTCTCTCCTGGTAGATGTAGATGCCATGCCACTTGTTAGCAAGAGGTTTTTCTCCACTCTCTTATTAGCTAGATGGGTCTGTTTACGTGATATGCGTTTCCATTCTCATTGTCTTTCAAAGTACTCTGAGCTGTCTAGTGCAGACCTGTTTACCAACACCACTGACACACCTGATTTAAACACACTTTGGTCATAATTGTAGCATATATCTATAATGCTTAATATCCACCGCGTACATACCTCACACATAAGAATATTAATGCTCAGTGAATTACAGATTTTCAGACGATAGTTCACAAGGTATATTTTGTACAAAAAGATTATTACAATAGTGTGTAGGGTGGGGTACAGGGGTATTCAGTGTCACAACTCCCCTCTTACAAAGCAGTAGGAGAGTTAACCACTGGCTGACCTGGAGCAGCAAGTTAGAACCCACTGTTCTCCAACTCCTCAATATGTTTAATTATGTCTGAAGTGACCATCCTAAACCCAGATTAAGGGGCATCGTTCCATCACCTTTAACATCCATACTTCTGCCAGCGGTTGCTTCACATCATCTGGGTCACCCAAGCCCTAAAGAGCTCTGTCACCCTCAAGGTGTTTACTCAGCTCTCTTACCATTTAGTCTGCCCTGCTCTCAGTGGAGTTCTGGCCCACAGCTTTCCCAGCTGTGCCACAGTCTTCATTGCATCCAGCAGTTTCTAGATGACAGCACTATCCAGCTATGCCTTAGTTTCCCCCTGTTGCCTTGATGGTCCTCTTTACTGCTTACATGTACATACAGACCTTCATTATCTTTGCCTGACAATCAGGCTGATCAGAGAATCAAATACAGATTCCTTTGCCTAGTACAGACCTGTTTACCAACTCCCCTAGCATGCCTGGTTTAAACACTTCAGTCATAATTCTAGCATCTATCCTGAACTCGTAATATGCCGTGTACATACATCACACAAGAATATTAATGATCAGTGAATTGTTAGTTTTCAAATGATACAGCACAGTGCATACTTTGTACAAAGATTATTATAATAGTGTGTAGGGTGTGCAAAGAGAGGCGCTTCGTGTCACAGATGGACGAGCATAAAACTGGCATTTTCTAACTTTTGAGTACTTGACTTTGCAACCCAAATAATGTTTTAAACAGTTTTTTGTAAGTATTTAACTAAGAGTCATGCAGTCACTATCTAAAGGAGTAGTTTTCAACCTGTGGGTCCACAGACCCCCGAGGGTCCACAGACTATATTTAAAGGGTCTGTGAAAGATTGTTGTTACCATAGAAGAGTGGTTTTCAACCTGGAGTCCGCAGACTATATCTAAGATTTCCGAAGGGTTCCGTACCTCCCTTTGAAATTGTTTAGGGGTAGGCAAATAAAAAAAGGTTGAAAACCACTGAACTAAAGCCTGAAGCCTGCTTACTCTTTGAGCTGAAGTCACTGCCATCAGCAATCAAGCTTTCCATGTTGGGAACTTGAGTCTACAGACATCAACAGGCAAAAAACAAGGTTTCTTCAGCTTTGCAAAGTCCACATCAATATTCAAGCTGTAGAAATTTTTTTCCTAACTTTCCGAAAGAACTGAAAAGCACCAGTGAAAAACACCAAACCAATCACAAAGGTTTTATGAAACAACTCACAGAATACATACTACATGATTCACCTTGTAAAGTATATTTACTCCTCAAACACAAAGAGGCTCACACTATCCAATGGAAAAGCATAGCATTTTGTAAGCAAAACACAAGAACAGTGGGATGGGGGGTGCGAGGGGGCACTCACCTCCTGAGCCGTTCAACTAACATAACTGTCAGGATGAGTAAATCAGAAAGCCCCCACCTAAGACAAATGGAGCTTGTGAACCCACCCAGGAAGATTGGACTGAGTGTGTGTGTGGGGGGGGGGGGCAGGTTGCTGAGACGGGGGTGGAGAGAGAAAGAGAGTGTGTGTGTGTGATGAGAGAGATCACATAGAAAAAAGGGAGGCAGAGGCAAAAGCAAGGAAGTCAGGCAATAGCCTGTGAGTATGTCTGTTGGCTAAACAGGCTTGGAGCTGCAAGCTAAGAAACTGCTCCTTTTGTTCTTGGTTCCTCCTCCATTAGGAGAAGCAGAACTTTGAACATTCCTTATAAATAAACAAGATTGCTGCAAAGAGAATACCAGACTCCATCATCAATTTCTATTTCATCTGGAAAATCCCCAGGCCCTCAACTTCGACTAGCACTATCTTACCCATACAGACAGACAGACGTAGAGCCAGATCTTCAGCCCCTTGCCTGCCAGCTTTGCAACAAGGGACCAAATTCCTGACATTTCAGATTGTGACAAAAGGGGGGCTGGCACATTGAAGGGGTTCTTCCTAGAGACTGTCCCAAGCTGGGGGCATAACACCGATCCTATGGAGCCATGACACAGATCACCATACTTTTTTATACAGTGATTTATTATTTATGTAATCTAATGCTTCAGACCATTCCTAAGAATTTGGAGGCCACGTTTACTGGTATGGTCCAGCTACGTTACACTACTCCGGTGACATAAAGCAGGCTGTAAACCCATCTTAACCATCCAGTCAAGTTGACTTTATGGTTACTTTGAGTGGCACAAAGCAGACAGAGTGTCAGTTAATCTGGCCCTAGCATTTTATTCTCATATTGTGCTTCCAGGGTGGGAACAAGGAAAGATGATATATACAATTCTATTTAGATCATGTATAAACAAACCAAGTGAAATAAAAGGTCAACATACCGATGAGCCAATGGCCTGCAGATCAACTGGATCTTTAAGTGTAGGAGCAATTCTAGACATATGGCAATCAAAGTTTGGTGTAGGATCCAGAGCAACTTTCTTTTTACCCATTGGAGGCTGAATTTTTTTTACCTTTCCAAAGAGAACCTGCTCAAATAAAGCAAAAGATTTCAACAAGGATGTGCCAAAATCAATCTATTATCATTTAAGCAAACATACACTCCCCACTTCCAGAGGAAAGCAGGAAAGTTGGGAACGCAACAAAAGGGAATGGCTTCCAAGAAATAACAACTATCTAAGGAAATATGAGTATTAAAAAAATAAAACAGGTTTTAAGGCTTCTATTGTCAGCATATTGTCAGATACTTAGAAATGGTGCTACCTGCACACCTATTCTTATTTTAAATTATTGCCATAACTTCTTCTGTTTACGCACTTTGTGGAATGTACAAAATACAAGGGATATATCACTACCAGTGCATCAGTTTCCAAATAACATAGCTTAAATAAGAGGCAAATGACTCATGAGCACCACAAAACTATTAGCTTGAAATAGTAGTCACCGGGGTAAAATCTTCAAAAGTGCTTATGTGATCTAGGAACCCAAGTCTCATTTTCAGAAGCATCTTAGGCACTTAGGAGCCTAACTCCCACTAAAAGTCAATGAGGCTCCTCAGTAACTTTTGAAAATAGGATTTAGGCTCCGTGACTGAATGCTGAGAGCCAGCAGCTGACCCAGCACTCTGGTCACTAGACACCAACTAGTTCCCCCCAGAGAAGCCCTAACTGGAGCAGAAGACTATAATCAGACTGTGGGCTGATGAGCTAAGGAGAAAATTATCTAATCAGATGAGAAGGTAGTTAAAAAGCATAAGAAGGAAGCACAAGGGGAGGAGAGAAGACTAGCAAATCCCCGGGGAAGCCAGGTCTCTGGCTGGTGAGACTGCTTCCTCTTCAAGCAGAAAGAGCCGAAGGCAGAAGGATGCCACAGGCAGACACGCTGCATGGGACTGTGACGCCGACTGAGGGCGGAAGGACACTGCAGGCAGACATGCTGCACGGCAACAGTGACGGTGGCAAACGGACGCTGCAGGCGGAAGTGCTGCACAGCGACTGGATTGGTGTCAGGAGGACGCTGCAGGTAACAGTGTAGCATGGAGACTACGACGGTGGCAGAAGAATGCTGCAGGCAGACATGCTGCACGGGGATCATGATGGCAGCTGAGGGCAGAAGGATGCTGCAGGTGACAGTGCTACACGGGGTCTGTAGGAAGGGTGCTGCAGGCAGAAGGACACCATAGATAGAAGGGTTGCCTTGGGACTCTGATGGCGGCAAAAGGATGCGGAACATGGCAGTTCTTCATGGGGATCATGACAGTAGCGGGACACGGTCGTTAGAAGTGCTTCACGGGGATCGTGACAATAGTGGGACATGGTAGTTAGAAGTGCTTCACGGGTACTGTGACAGTGGTAACAAATAAACACTCACTCAGGTGTTGACAATCAAGAGGCGTCCAAGGCTGTGTGTGAGGACCCCAAGGTGGGAGAGGAGCCTGCCCTGTTACAGACGCCTAGAGCACTTGTGCACTTTTGAAAATGTTCCCCCTAACTCGTTACATGGCACCTACCTTGAAAACCAGGATGTTTTCTGCACTGATCAATCTATTTGCATAATTCAAAGCAACATCAACATGTCTGAATAAATAAACTCCAAGGAGGGGATTTCCTAATTCCTTCATCGCAGACTCGCTGGTATGTATTCCACTCTGGTAAATTTTTGAGGCCTCATCCCAAGGCAGCACTAAAAAGCAAAAATGTTCCTCAAGTTCTCTGCCTTGCCTCCCTTCTTCACGCATCTTGGCCCTAGCAATGAAATAAAAAGAGGTTACACACTCTGACAGCTAACACAGCCAGCAGGCTGCAAAGACGTGCATAGACAATACAAGTAAATATTATAACTATCCCAGGGTCCTACTGGCACTGCTTTGCCTCCCCTTGTGGGAGGCTTGGCTCTGAACAGTTCAGCTCACAGCCAAGAGCAGGGGACATAGAGTTCTCCCCCAAGGAGTTCAGTCACAAATTTAATTAACGCATTTTTTTTAAACGAGCGTCATCAGCATGGACGCATGTCCTCTGGAATAGTGGCCGAAGCATGAAGGCGCATACGAATGTTTAGCATATCTGGCACGTAAATACCTTGCAATGCCGGCTACAAACGTGCCATGCAAATGCCTGTTCTCTCTTTCAGGTGACATTGTAAATAAGAAGCAGGCAGCAGTATCTCCCATCAGTGTAAACAAACTTGTTTGTCTTAGCAATTGGCTGAACAAGAAATAGGTCTGAGTGGACTTGTAGGCTCTAAAGTTTTACATTGTTTTGGTTTTGAGTGTAGTTATGTAACAAAAAGAAATCTACATTTGTAAGTACACTTTCACGATAAAGAGATTGCACTACAGTATTTGTATGAGGTGAATTGAAAAATACTATTTCTTTTGTTTATCATTTTTACAGTGCAAATATTTGTAATCAAAAATAATAATATAAAGTGAGCACTGTACACTTTGTATTCTGTGATGTAATAGAAATCAACATATTTGAAAATGTGGAAAAACATCCAAAATATGTAATAAATTTCAGCTGGTATTCTGTTGTTTACCAGTGTGATTAATCAACAGCCCTAGTTTGTAGGACATTTAGCCAATGCTAAGAACCAGCAGGTGGGACATGCAGCAGGTTCCATTCACTGCCAGAGGCAGAAAAAGGGAACCGAGAGAGGGTAACAGGTGTTCTGCCCTTCAATGTTCCCTCTAATTTTTGACAGGCCACGTGCGCAAAAAATTTCTTCTGTGCAAATTGCTGTGCTTCTGTGCAAATTTTTGTGTGTGCGGTGTTTCACAGTGTGCGTGCGCACACGTGCACAGCTTAGAGGGAACAGTGCTGCCCTATATGTCCTTGTGCAGGAGCATGAAGCTGCATAAGGCACGCGTGCAGCCTCGACGGACACATCTAGTCTGAAAAACTCCAGCCTTGCGCATGAGGTGAACGTGCAGCTCATGGCATCCACAATGGCACATGTTTGAAGAACCACCGACCAGAATTGCTAAAGGGCCTGGTCTTTTCCAAATAAAAGCAGTGCACCTTTTTTACATCTAGGGTCCAGAAGCAAGTTGCCCCGGGGAGGGAATGGGATCTGGAAAACAACATGGGCAGAGAAATGCATAGGTAGAAATCTGAAAGCACCTTAGGCATGAAGCCTGGATGTGGCCTCATGGTGACTTTGTCCTTGTGGAGCCACTGTAAGGTGCAGTGTAAGGCGCATCCAAGCTCTGAGCTCACTCTCCCTCCTAGCAGATGTAACGGTTGCCAGGAAGGATATTTTTGATCAATTACCGCTCAAGAAAGGCTTCCGCAACAGGCTTATAACGAGTGCCCATCACTTTTGTCAGTGCAAGATTAAAGTCCATTAAAACATGGGCTCCTTAATAGGGGTAGGGGTAAGAGACAAACACATTTACCAAACCCTTAAGGAACCTGAAGACTGTAGGGTGAGACAAAATGGGTTTGTCCTTAATTGAACCATGATACTGCCTCTGGATCTGCATCACTTACTGTGGGGAAGAATCGAATCGACGGAGCTGCCGGGTTCGTTGTTGATGGAGTCAAAGGTACCCAGAAGCAGATCGAAGAAGTCGGTACAGGCACAGAGTCAAGCAGCTGAAAGCATGCAGTGAAGCAGGTCTCGCCCAGACATACAAGGCACTGGAATTGGGTGCTGATGTCTGGTATATATAAGCAGTGGGCAGGAGGCACATCTCCAAAGCCTTTACGGGCTTGGGACCAGACATGGTCCAGGTGGGGGGCCAATGGCTCCTGGTAGAAGAGCAAGCTAGGCACAATACATTCTATGCTATGCCACACAAACTAACTGCAGTAACTCCTTGTTTAACGGTGTAGTCCTGTTCCTGAAAAATGCGACTTTAAGCGGAACGATGTTAAGGGAATCCAATTTCCCCATAAGAATTAATGTAAATAGGGGGGCTTAGGGAAACTGTTTTTGCCAGACAAAAGACTATATATTATACACATACACACACACACACAGTATAAGTTTTAAACAAACAATTTAATACTGGTACACAGCAATGATGATTAGTGAAGTCAGAGGGTGGGATATTTCCCAGGGGATTCCTTGCTGCTAAATGATGAACTAATCCTCAAGGGTTAACTCATTGTTGTTAATGGAGCCTCACACTCTACAAGGCAGCAGGAACGGAGGGAGGGGAGACAGCATGGCAGAGAGAGACGGACACACGCACCCCGTGTGTGAGAGAGAGAGACGCGCATTGTCCCTTTAAGTACGCTGACCCCACTCTAAGTACACTGCCTTTTTACGTAGATCAGCAAGTTGAGACAGCAGCTGCTGCCAGCAAGCTCGCTCCGTCCTGAGCTCTGTCGTGCCCTCACCCCAGCTCTATGGAAATGGGGTAAAGTAGCAGGGGGCAGGAGCGGGGAGGAGGGGGATACCCTTACATTAGCACCCGTCTTTTCCCGCCCCTTGCACAGCAAGCAGGAGGCTCCCGGGAGCAGCTCCAAGGCAGAGGGCAGGAGCAGCACAGGGCAGCGGGGGGAGGGACAGCTGAACTGCCCGCAATTGATAGCCTGTTGGGCGGCTGCCCCACAGGGAACTTAGGGGAGTGGGGAGCTGACAGGTGGGCTGCCAATCCACCGTGGTTCCAAGCCCCCACCAGCTGGGTCCATCGGGCTGCTCTTCCTGCAAGCAGTGGACAAAGCAGGCGGCTGCCAAACGACGTTAGAAGGGAGCATGGCACAACTTTAAACGAGCCTGTTCTCTAATTGATCAGCGACGTAACAACGAAACAACAGTAACCGGGACGACTTTAAGTGAGGAGTTCCTGTACAGGAAAGCTATGATGACGATAAGCTAGACGAAGGCAAGAGGTAACTGAGGCAGGAAGGCAAGTTCTGCCCCCTGCAGCACTGGCCCAGGTGGTGCTCAGGCAGGTGTAGGGTGCAAGCCCTTAGAGTAGGACAATGACGTCCCTCTCATGTGAGAGCCTCACACACTCCCCAACACATGCAGGTTTTCAAAGGTCCAGGGAGCCAGGCAGAGAGACCTGCGAAGAACCACCAACTAGTACCCCAAACAAGCACAACTGTGAGCACGAGGGAAGGAGCCTGATAAAGGGGCACATGCAGAAGGGCAGCAGAGTGTCAGAGTCCCAGTTGCAGTCCATGGTGTGTGGCACTGGGCATTTGCAGTAATGGTAAGGCACGCGCTTGGGGGTGGAGGAGGAGAAGGCACACACTGGTAGGTGGTCTAACTTTTCATTTCCTTGCTTTTATGGGTTTGCATCAGTTACGTTGTGTGTGTAATAAACAGCTTCACAAAGCTTTTTGTTTGTTAATATAATAAACTTTTCATCATCAGAATGGTGCCTTCCTAATGCTTCTTACTTGTAAACACCCACCCACGATAGCGGATCTAGAAGTGTTTAGCACGTACGTGTGTGAGATAGCAGTGCTGAAATGTATGAGCATCATAAACCAAAGAAATGTCTCACCCCCTTCCAACTTGTGTTAATAAACAGTAAAATCCAAGATAATCACAGATGTATTTTGTTGACAATTAGGCTGTGTTGAAAAGCAGTTTTCCATCCCCAGTGACTCCCTATGAGACCTGACCTCCCTCAGGGCTGGTCTCATCCTCACCTCCAGCCAGTGAACAGAAGCGTCACATGCAGATAGGCCAATTTACCTGATCAAGTAACAGGAAAAAACTGGAAACTTCTGCTCAGTTATGCGTATGTACTTTGCCCTATCATAGATTATGTTTTCTAGATTTAATTCTATTTAAATGCTTTTAAATGTTTGGCATGAAACTACAAAAAACAAAGACATTATTAATTAATCATCACATAGCATAACTTGCCTATGCTTTTCAAAGATTAAGGAGATGGGCTGCAGCTGAGGAAAAACTCTCACAGCCAGTTACGGCTCCCTGAATCTTGACCTGGCTCAGGTTAATGAAGCCTGGGGTCTGCTCTTATTTGCAACAGTTGATGGATGGTGCCCAAGGGACTGTCTGCAGACTGTCGCACAATCTCTCCATTCCTTTATACCAACATGCTCCCTTTGCCTGGAGGTGCCAGGAAGATTACAGTTCTAGGTCTGCCAGCAACACCCGTAGGAATCACCAGGATCAGGAGACAAGGCCAGACTCTGCATAGGGAATGTAGCAGGACAGAGAACCTCGCTCATGGTCTCCTGAAGACCTTGTAAATAAAGAACATGTAGGTAGATAAAGAAAGGAGGCAGGAAAAGCTGGGATGAGATTTAAAACAAATAAAGTAATGGGAGTCGTATTACGCAGCAACAAATGACCCATAAGGACACTTTGTAAAGTGAGCCCCACGGTAGCGCTAGCATCCCTGACTTGCCATTGGAGGAAGCTGGTCTCACAATGGAAAGGAATGATGAATGAATATTAAGAGCAAAGGGATAAGTCATGAAAAGTCACCATGGTGAATTCACTGCCATTCATTTCGCAATAACCTACCTCTTTGAAGCAAATTTTTTTTCCAGATCTTCATTGTGTATCAGTTTTATCTCACCAAACTGCCACGACAACTGCAGGTCACATCCTGTGTTGAGACAAGACTGGCTCAGAGTATGATTGATGCTTCTGTACTCCCTCTGATTAGTGTAGCAGGGTGTTAAAGAAACTAGAAACACAACAAAGGAAATAGTGAATATATGACGCATTTTCCAACACCCTTTGCAGACTGACATAAGTAGATGTCATTGACAGCAAATTCACTAAGGCCTGATCTACACTATGAAATTAGGTCAGTATAACTATGTCGCTCAGAGGTGTGAAAAATCCACATCCCTGACCAATGCAATTAAACGAACCTAACCACCGGTGTAGACAGCACTAGGTTGATGGCAGAATTCGCCTGTCGACCTAGCTTCTGCCTCTCAGCGAGATGGATTACCCCTCCCATCGGCATAGGTAGTGTCTGCACAGAAGCACGACAGCTGTAGTGGTTTATGTGTAGACAAGCTCTAAGTCTGTTAAATTAATTATGGCAAACATTAACCAAAGGTGTGCAGCATGGCACAATGGATACGTTAAAATAGTGTGCTTTTGCTGTCTGTTCTGAGACCATTTGTCATGCTAATTACTTTGCCCAAGGGTCTTGGCTTAGCTGCTGAGAAAGTTCTGTCTTGTATGTCTCACGTAATGGTACAGTTCATTGTTCTTAAGGAAGGTTTCTGTTGTAAGAGATGGTGCTCATAGAGAGGAAAGAGAATCTCCCAGGTAGCTAGGATCAATCCCATGGAAGGTTTAGAATATCAGCATTAAACGTATGGTCCATATTCTATCAACAGGAAGCCAGCACAGAGAGCAGAGCAGTGGGCTGAGACATCCATGGTGTCCTAGATAGGCAGGGATCTGCATTCTGTACTAACAGGACCATGTTCAGGGTTGGCAGCTCCACTCTTAGGTGCAGTGAGTTGCAATAATCAGGCCTGGAGGTCCTGTGGCCAAGTCCACAGCTGCTAGGAAGGGGAGCAGCCCCTGGCCAGTCTCCCAGGAAGAGGGTGATTTCAAAGGTATGGCAATTTGGGCACTCAGTAGGAGCGAGGATCTACCATGCCGAGCAACTGCAGGTCTGACCCTTCTGAAGGGTGAAGCTGTGGGCCAGAGAAAGGGTCTGGGTGCCAAACGTTTGATACCCTGGTACAGGAGAGTTCAATACCGGTTTGAGGAATTACAGAATAGGAAAATCAGCTGGAAGGTACAAGTAAGGAGACTCTTGAGTAAATATATAAGCAAAGAACATACACAAAGTTTTCCTTTACTCGACAGACTAGGGAGGCTTGGGGACTTGTTATTCCCACTTCTCCTTTCACCTTGAGTCTTCGGCTTTCTCCCTTCTTCCTGACTACTGGGAGGGAGTAGGAATCCTCTCTCTTCCTCTCCCACAGCTCCTCCAAACTCTCCATTCGGCACCCACAGAGCCGAATCTCCTTGCTCCCCACTCCCCATGCTGCTTAATAGAGTGAGTGAAGAGTGCACCTTGGATTGGAGCTCCACTAGATTGAGCTAAATTCAGGAAAAGGTAGAGGACAACTGAATAATGCACAATGTGAGAAACTGAACTATATGACTGGCAGGCCAGGAAGAGCCTGACAGGAGGCGACACAGTTCACTCACCATAGCCATCTTGAAATGTGTTAACTGCCATAACTAGCTAAAATTAAACCTTTCTACACAATACAAACAAACAACACAATACGAAATACACAAAGCCCCCACAAGAAATGGTTCTACACTCCTGGTCCAATGCCAGGCAGAGAAAATAACTGAGGGGGATGCGGTCACACCTTCTTCCATGGTCCATGACCCTGTGGGAACATTTCAGGCCAAAGGTTCTAAGTCACCACTTTGTGGCACCTGACTCCAACAGAAAACATCTCCTCTATTTCAGAAACTGACAAACTCTCTCTCTTTAACTCCATGTATTTTCATGACATTTGGGAAGGGTTTTCGGGATGTGTTAGCAAAACTGGACAAAACTAAAAAAATATATTTTAAATTCAAGATATTCGTTATAGTCAATAACCATAAATTCATAGAAGAGTAGGATTGGAAGAGACCTCAGGAGGTCATCTAGTCGAACCCCCTGCTCACAGTAGGACCAAGCCCAACTAAATCATCCCAGCCAGGGCTTTGTCAAGCCGGGCCTTAAAAACCTCTAAGGAAGGAGATTCCACCACCTCCCTAGGTAACGCATTCCAGTGCTTCACTACCTGCCTAGTGAAATAGTGTTTCCTAATATCCAAGCTAGACCTCCCCCACTGCAACTTGAGATCATTGCTCCTTGTTCTGTCATCTGCTACCATTGAGAACAGTCTAGAGCCATCCTCTTTGGAACCCCCTTTCAGGTAGTTGAAAGCAGCTATCAAATCCCCCCTCATTCTTCTCTTCTGCAGGCTAAACAATCCCAGCTCCCTCAGCCTCTCCTCATAAGTCATGTGTTCCAGCCCCGTAATCATTTTTGTTGCCCTCCGCTGGACTCTCTCCAATTTGACCACATCCTTTCTGTAGTGGGGGGCCCAAAACTGGATGTAATATTCCAGATGTGACCTCACCAATGCCGAATAGAGGGGAATAATCTTCCCTTGATCTGCTGGCAATGCTCCTGCTAATGAAGCCCAATATGCCATTAGCTTTCTTGGCAACAAGGACATACTGCTGACTCATATCCAGCTTCTCATCCACTGTAATCCCCAGGTCCTTTTCTGCAGAACTGCTGCTTAGCCAGTCGGTCCCCAGCCTGTAGCAGTGCATGGGATTCTTGCGTCCTAAGTACAGGACTCTGCACTTGTCCTTATTGAACCTCATCAGATTTCTTTTGGCCCAATCCTCCAATTTGTCTAGGTCACTCTGGACCCAATCCCTACCCTCCAGTGTATCTACCTCTCCCCCCAGTTTAGTGTCACCTGCAAACTTGCTGAGGGTGCAACCCACCCCATCATCCAGATCATTAATGAAGATGATGAACAAAACCGCCCCAGGACAGACCCCTGAGATACTCCGCTTGATACTGGCTACCAACTAGACATCAAGTCGTTGACCACTACGCGTTGAGCCCGACGATCTAGCCAGCTTTTTATCCACCTTATAGTCCATTCATCCAATCCATACATTTTTAAATGGCAGCCAATAATACTGTGGGAGACCGTATCAAAAGCCTTGCTAAACTCAAGATATAACACATCCACCACTTTCCGCATATCCACAGAGCCAGATATCTCATCATAGAAGGCAATCAGGTTGGTCAGGCATGACTTGCCCTTGGTGAATCCACGTTGACTGTTCCTGATCACCTTCCTCTCCTCCAAGTGCTTCAAAATGGATTCCTTGAGTACCTGCTCCATGATTTTTCTGGGGACTGAGATGAGGCTGACTGGCCTGTAGTTCCCCAGATTCTCTTCTTCCCTTTTTTAAAGACGGGCACTATATTTGCCTTTTTCCAATCATTGGGGACCTCCCCCGATTGCCACAAGTTTTCAAACATAATGGCTTATTGCTCTGCAATCACATCAGCCAACTCCCTCAGCACCCTCGGATGCATTGCATCTGATCCCATGGACTTGTGCATGTCCAGCTTCTCTAAATAGTCCTTAACCTGTTCTTTCACCACTGAGGGCTGCTCACCTCCTCCCCATGCTGTGCTTCCCAGTGCAGCAGTCTGGGAGCTGACCTTGTCTGTGAAGACAGAGGCAAAAAAAGCATTGAGTACATTAGCTTTTTCCACATCATCTGTCACTAGGTTGCCTCCCCCATTCAGTAAGGGTCCCACACTTTCCCTGACCTTCTTGTTGCTAACATACCTGAAGAAACCCTTCTTGTTACCCTTCACATCTCTTGCTAGCTGCAACTCTTGTTACCCTTCACATCCCTTGCTAGCTGCAACTCCAATTGTGTTTTGGCCTTCCTGATTACACCCTTGCATGCTTGAGCAATAATTTTATATTCCTCCCTAGTCATCTGTCCAAGTTTCCACTTCTTATAAGCTTCCTTTTTGCGTTTAAGTTCACCGAAGATTTCACAGTTAAGCCAAGCTGGTCACCTGCCATATTTGCTATTCTTTCTGCATATCAGGATGATTTGTTCCTGCGCCCTCAATAAGGCTTCTTTAAAATACAGCCAGCTCTCCTGGACTCCTTTCCCCCTCATATTCGCCTCTCAGGCGATCCTGCCCATCAATTCCCTGAGGGAGTCAAAGTTTGTTTTTCTGAAGTCCTGGGTCTGTATTCTGCTGCTCTCCTTTCTTCCTTTTGTCAGGATGCTGAACTCAACCATCTCATGGTCACTGCTGCCCAGGTTGCCACCCACTTCTACTTCCCCCATCAATTCTTCCCTGTTTGTGAGCAGCAGGTCAAGAGGAGCACGGCCCATAGTTGGTTCCTCCATCACTTGCACCAGGAAATTGTCCCCAACACTCTCTGTATTGCCCAGCAGATGTCAGGGTGATTGAAGTAACAAGCAGGTTTTTCTGAGCTTTAATCAGCTCGGTTCACAACATCTGGTAGGTGCTAAATATGAAACAAGTCTGTTGATTTCAAGGCTTTGAGGTGTTACCATTTACTGATGGATCTTTGGAATAACACACATCACTTACACACAGTTATGCACAATTTTCACTTGATAAAAATGCTCAGTTTTGATTTTTGTTACCAGTTTACCGTACCTTTATCAGCAGTCCTCCTTATTTTAGGGATGGTAAATTTTTTCAAAGGATTTGTTTCTACACCAACAGCTGTCATGCATGGTGGCTTCTCATTTGATCTTATTTGTTTCTGCACTTTAATTCTATTAGTTTCTGTCATTTCCATCTTGTCGCCAGCCTAAAACAGTAATGAAAGCCGTAAGTAACCACCTAAGAAACAGTCCATTGATATTTCTGCTTTTCTGCTCAACTCTATCTATGTTGTCATCTCATCCTCCCAGCTGTACTGTGTGCTCAGCGAGGCATCAAACTGTACCTACTTAGCAGCCAACTAGGGTATCACTTTCTATCCAGAAGTCCCTAACTTTACTAAGTTCCTCCGACGCTATATCCTTATGCTTTCTGGGAAATAGAGGACCAAGAACTGTACAAGTTTAATTAATCTCCATGTCACTAGTCCCAGCCCCATTTGTCTGTCCTGTCATCCTGTTGCATCCTGTCTGTCATGTTGTAAATTATAACATCTCTGGGGCAACAACTCTCTTCCTTCCTGCGTGTTTGTCCAGCACCTAGCACAATGAGACCCTGATCCGCTAAGGGAGTACCTAGGCACGATCACACTACAATTAATATGTTATTAATAGCCAACTGATAGCCAACCTCCTCCTCTAAGAAAATTCTGAAAACCCTTCTGTTTAGAAACATTTCTGCTAGTGTATCATACAGCACTTTATTTTCACATTTTTAAAGTATGATTACATACACTGTACAAAGGATCTTTGTCAGTTAGGATTTTACATGTCTCCGTGGCTGGTGAGGTAAGAATTCCCTATGAGATTATTCGCCCAAAAGGAGTTGTGTTTATCTTATCACACATCTTTGTTTCTCTCTTGCTGGAAAAACTTTTAAACAGAAGTTTACATGGCCAGGTGACTGTTCTTCTGTAATGTCTAAGAGTTTTGCTCGTGCAGACTTAATGAGCTAGCTCATCACCAGAAAGTCTTTGAAGAAACAAAACAAAACACATATGCTCCTTGCAGGAGTACATTCAAACAAGAAAGGAAGGGACAGTGTTACGAAAGATTTAAGACATCTTTATCCGAAAGATTTATTTGCTGATCTTATAATTTGAGGTTAGTAGTTGTATCTCTACCTTTTCCCTCATCATATAAATTTGCGTTTTGGCCTTTTGGAGACCAGTATTTTTGCTGTCAGCCACTTTGAATTTTTTAAGAAATTTTTATTTAAGTTTATCTTTATTGGGTGCACTAGAAAGAACTGAATAAATATAGCTTTCACACCTTTTAATTTTTAGAGGGAAAATGTCCCTTTTACCCATTTATTGTACAAAGTCTGAATAACAGAAGATTAAAGGAGATGTGTTAAAATGCATTTTTAGAGAAAAATAATTTTAACAATACATTTCTAAATAAAGTTACTACATTTGCAAAAATCTTAGTAATGACAAAATACAGTGTTAATACATACATGATAGCAGACATTTTTAAAGAAAAATATTTCATATGCAGTTAGTCCATTTTAAATAAAGCCTTAAGGTCAAAGGAGAAGCATTTAATGCATATATAGAATCATTCATTTTTATAAAAAATATTATTTCAGGCATTTACTGTATTTTTAAAGTCATTACATAGTTTACAAAATATTAGTAACAGCAGAATAAAGAAGTGTTAATATATATAACAGCAGGTTAGACAAACACCTATCAGGAATAGTCTAGATAATACTTAGTCCTGTTGGGGCTGGGAGTCTCTATTTCTCCTGACTGACCCTCCTTAGTTTGTTCTCAGTCAGGGCAGTTCCTGGACCCCCACCTCCAAATAAGTCTGTCAACCCTACAATTTTATGGCTTGCAGTCAGCTTTAGTCTCCTGGCTGTTTTCTTGGTGGCAGCCTGATGCAGGACTGTCACCCCTTTGCTAGCCCAAGTTTTTCTGCCTCCCCTTCTGTATATTCTTCCCTTTATAGCAGGCCTTGTTTTCTCTAGAGGTTGCAGCTGTGAGTGCAGGCTTCCATGATTGGCAGCACTGACAGCTGCGTGGGGGTGTGATCAAGCTACTTGCTTATAAACAGGAAAGGCTCTTCTGCCCCAGCTGTCTGTGTTCTGTATGGGGTTGTAGACCCCATTATATATTCTTCCCTACAAGGCTGAGGTAGGGTCTTGGCTGGTATAGGCTACTTACCTAGACAGAAAATCAGAGTTAAGAAGCAAATTTCCTGCCTGTTGCTGTACCCAAAAGGTGACAGGTTCCATGGTATGGTTGTGGCGACAGGTAGTATCTCATGGTTCTCAGGTTTGTCTCTTTCATTGCATTTAGCCAGCACAAGAGAGCCTGACCAGTAACTAGTGTGAACTCATTTCCTAGGAGGTAGTATTGCAGACCCTCTATTTCCCATGTGACAGCCAAGCACTCTTTTTCGATCACTGAGTATATTTTTCAGGGGGAAGAGTTTCTCGCCCGATACAGGCTATCAGGTGTTCTTCTCCATTTATCTTTGGAGAAAAGACCACCCCTCGTCCTACCGCCTGTGTGTCTGTTTGTAATACAAATTACTTTTTGAAGTTCAGGCTATACAGCACTAAGCGTCTTCAGAGTATGGTCTTGAGTTTTTGAAAGGCACTTTTGCAGGTCCACAACACCTGTCTTGGGGTGGCATCCCTAGTTAAGTCAATAGCGGGAATGCTATGGTGGCAAAATGGGGTATGAACTGGCAGTAGTAGCCAGATAAGCCTAGGAAAGCATACACTTGCCTTTTGGTCATGGGGGCCTTGTATACCTGTAAGGCATGAACATTATCCACTAAGGGGCAGATTTGTCCTCCACTGATTCTGTCCCCCAGGTAACAGGCTTCATCCTTTCCTATTGCACATTTAGTGAGGTTTACCGTTAACCTGGCTTCTGTCAGTGACTGGAAAATGGTAGCTAGTTTGTCCAGATGGGAGTCCCAGTCCTTGCTATCGAGCAGGGTAGCCAAACTTACTTACCCTCGAAGCACATAAGACAATCTTCAGAAGTTTGAGAGTTGGGGTGTGCCTGCCAGGGCTCAGGGCTTCTGGCCTATGGGAGGCACCTGCTGGGGCTCAGGGCTTCAGCCCCACTCCTGCTGAAGCCTTGAGCCCTGGCAGGTACATCCCATGGGGCTGAAGCCCCGAGTCCCCCCCTCTCTGCTGGGCAGAAGCCCCTACTTCACCACCCTGCTGCAAGGAGGAGGTCCCGAGCTCCCCTCTGTCCAAGTCTGGTAGATAGGTGGCGGGGGGGGGGAGCTCGCGTGCCACACTTTAACTGTAAAAGAGCTGCATGCGGTTCACAAGCCACAGTTTGCCCCACCCCTGCTATAGATAACTACGTCATCCAAGTATGCTGCCGCATATTGACTGTGCTGTGGGAGTAATGGTCCAAACACGGAAAAGTAGCTGCTGTCCTGTGTAACCCAAAGGGCCTGGTGTTAAAATTATATAGGCCAAAGTGGTGTAGAAAAAGCCATTGTCTCCTGGGAAATCAGCCTTAAAGGGATCTGCCAATACCCCTTCGTCAAATCCAAAGTGGTGGTATATTAGGCTTCTCCCAGTTGGTCTAAGAGTTCATCCACTTATGCCATGGGAAACCCATCAAATTTAGAAACTGTGTTTGCTTTTCTGAAATCTATACAAAAACGTAGTGAGCCATCAGGCACTGGGACCAGTACAATACGATTCCTCCAGTCACTCTGGGATTCTTCTGTCATCCCGAGTTGTAACATGGTCCTGATCTTTCACGATGGCCCCTTCAACTTGTTGGGGATTGGTTGGAGCCTTTCCCATATTACTTTACTGGGTTCCGTATTAAGGCAGTGTTGTGCCAGGAACATCTTCCTGGGCAAAGCTGAGAATACCACCAAACTGCTAAAGTTTGCAGTTGCAGTGCCTATTCCTTTTGCTTATGGTTTAGGTTCTTTCTGAGCCTCCTTTTAAGCAGTCATGAACTTGGAGTTGGAGTTCTGGTTCCTCAAGATACAGTCTGATAAAAAGATTTCCCCTGGCTTTCTAGGGCTTCAGTAAATTTACATGGTAAATTTGTTTCTTTTTCTTCCCTGGTTGTCTGCTTACGTAGTCCACAGTCCTCTCTTTATCACCTCGTAAGGGCCCTGACCATTAACTTTGATTCCAAGCTTGGAAGAAGCAACAGGACAGGACAGCCTAGCTGAAAGACGCACATCCATACTCCTTTATTGTACTGTCATTGTTGTTGGTCCTGTGTTTTCTTGACATTTTCTCTAGAATATGCCCCTCCAGCCTCTCATGTAACTTTAAAACATACTGCACTATGTTTTCTGCCCTCAGAGCTTGACTTTCCCAGGTTTGCAATACCAGGTTGAGTATGCCCCTTTGTTGTTGTTTATATAGCAGTTTGAAGGGAGAAAAACCCTGTTGTGGTTGGGGCACTTATTTGATGACAAAGAGTAAGGCTGGGAGTAGTTGGCTCCAATGTCGGGGATCATTACCCCTGGGTAATGAATTTCTTGAGCATCATCTTAAGTGTCTGATTGAATCTTTCTACTTGGTTATCTATGGGTGGTACAGAGAAGCGCACAATAATTTGATTTTTAATAGTTCCCATACTTCTTTCATCAGCCAGAATGTGAAATTTGTCCCCTAGTCAGGACCCCTTCGGGAAACCCTACCCATGTGAAGACCTTCAGCAATTCATTAGCGATAGTCTTAGCATTCTTAGACCACAGTGGTATGGTTTTCGGGTGTCTGGTGGCATAGTTCATGATGACAAATACATGCTTATGTCCAGAGGCTCTCCTCTTGAGGGGGCCTATAATGTCAATTCATATTCTTTCAAAGGAAGCATCCACCAAAGAGAGGGGTACTAGTGGAGCCTGTGCAATTCCCTGAGGGGCTGTTAACTGGCATTCAGGTCATGATGCACATAAATTCTCAACTTCCTTAAAGACCCTGGCCAAAAGTACTAGGCCAGGATCCTATACTGTCTCTTGTGCTTCCCAAGATGTCCTGCACATGGGGACCATACCAACCTTGTCTCCCTTACTTCTGTGCTGCTGGTGGCACTGTCTTCAGAGCTGGACATCCAGCCAGCACCCGTTGCTCTCCAGCCACCGAGCTCTGAAGGCAGAGTGGAGAGCGGCAGCTGCTGGCTGGGCACTCAGTTCCGAAGGCCAGTAGCAGCAGAGAAGTAAGGGTGGCAATACCGCACCATGCCACCCCTGCTTTTGTGCTGCTGCTGGTGGCGGCGCTGCCGTCAGAGCTGGGCACCCGGCCAGCAGCTGCTGCTCTCCAGTTGCCCAGCTCTGAAGGCAGAGCAGAAGTAAAGGAGGCAATACCACAACCCCCCACAATATGCTTGTGACCCCCTTTTGGGCTGGGACCCCCAGTTTGAGAAACGCCATGTACTTTTGTATACTTTACCAAGCAGAAGGTGTTCTCTAACCACAGGACTTCCTGGGGAAATCACACTGGCATAGAATATTCAAATGGATCACACTTTCCAGAGTCTCACTGAGCAAAGCATTTCATGAATTTAATCCACTGATATTTAATTGACCCACATTTTCCTGAATACAGCGCTTCATTCGTTGTAACCTATGCAAATGTAAATTAGAGCCAAAATATCAGTCAAAAGGACCACGCATGTAGATTTCTTTCTTAGGCTTTTTACAAAACCTATGTAAATTTAGCAATTAGCTTTCCTTGTTTTTAGTTCTGTACCAGGAATCAAATTTCTTCTTTCTACATAACACTTTTAGCTTTTGGTCTTTACAAAATGGTAGACAGACCCTTAAAGGAAGACATGCCTAATCTTTATACCAATTTCTCTTATTCTATTTCCTCAAAGTAATGTATATCTTCATAATCTTTTATATTTATTGAAAAGTAACTCCAGTTGATTTAGCTGCAAGGGGCCTGTTATTTTAAACTCTGTAACACCAGTTTACAGGATGTCATTTGTAAAGTGTGAAGATTTTGGGGGTCAGTATAATATCCCCATTATTTACAGAGGAATTTTACAATAAAAACATAAAAGTTTGAAAAGACAAGCTATAGTTTTGCAACTGCATGAAGGCAAGTGGTAAAGAATCCCACCTGACACTGTTATCTGAAGAACTATGTCCCCCCACAACACCCTCCTCCTCCTTTCTCCTAAACTGTCATCTTTTGCAGTTTTTTCAGCAAAAGAATATTTTACTCATAGCATTAAAATTAAATAAAATTAGACACGTTTAAAAACTATAATAGTCCCAGAATTTTAAAAATAACATTAAGCATGTGTTTTATATGTTACATTACACCCTAAATATCTGCCAAGAACAGGAAATTGTTAATTATTTAATTATGGAAATCAAGTAAATATATCATTCTGCAATAGAGAGACAGGCCCTTCAAACACCTCAAGTGTAGCAAAGTTTTGCCTAAACAAACTGCAGATTGTTCAAAATCCCCTGTAAAAATAATTTACACAGATACAGTTTATACTAGGTTCCTGGGGAATATTAATATCGTACAAAATCCTCATTTACAAAAGGATTTTTTAAAAATGTAAAAAGCCATGTGTGATGACGCTGCCTGTGGGAGCCAGCTGAGGTCACTCAATCAGGGTGAACTGCAAACAGAACGGGGCAGACAAACCCCAAACGCTGGTGGATATTCCAGTACTTAGATTTACCCAGCCAGCCCAAAACAGCTTCTATAGCACCTCCCCGGGTACTCAGAAGTCCAAATAATGCAGTCCCCTTAAAGTACCCAGCCTCAGGCTTCCATCCAGACACACAGGTCAAACATAGGATGATAAATTCTGAAAATCTCATTTCATCATAGAAAAGAAAAGGTTCTCCTGACCTCAAAGGACCAAACCCCAGACCCAGGTCAAATAATAACTTACATCTTAACCCAAATACACGCTCATGGTCAATTCTTGTTAACTAAACAAAATTTTTTTTTAAAAAGAAGAGAGCATTGGTTAAAAGATCAATACACACACAGACTTGAGTTCAATTCTTGAGGTTCAGATACATAGCAGAAATGAGCTTGCAGCTGCCAAAAGTCCTTTTAGAAATAGTCCATAAGTTATAGTCCAATGTCCATATGCAGGGTGACTCCAGTCAGTGACTGGGGATCTCAATCCCTATGGCTCAGGGTTTCCCCGTCTTGAAACCCAAAGCAGATCTGAGTTGAAGAAGGATCGTGTCCCAAGGTCTTTATACATTTCCAGCAGCCTTTTGGCCTGAGAAAACAATAGGCTTGACTTTCCTTCTTCCAGACATCGCGGCAATTAGCACAGGATAATTTATCCATTAAACAGTTCAGACACAGGTTATCACAACCTTCAAAGAGACATAGACAATAATACTATTTCACTCAAGTATCTTCCTAAATACTAATACTCCTTTTTTTTTTTTTTGGATCTTTGAATCAAAGCTATAGCACTAGACAAGACTTGTTTACTTACATCACAAGACCTGAGCAAACATCTACCCTTCTATCTCTAACAATGCAGGCTTGCATTTCAAAGCTCTATTCATTTACATATCTTCCTAACCAGGCTCTAAAGTTCAGCCATGAGTGAGGTCAGTCTGTGAGTTAATTAAGATTTCAGAGTAGCAGCCGTGTTAGTCTGTATCTGCAAAAAGAAAAGGAGAACTTGTGGCACCTTAGAGACTAACAAATTTATTTGAGCATAAGCTACGCTTTTGTGAGCTACATCTCACTATGAAGTGAGGTGTAGCTCACGAAAGCATAGCTTATGCTCATACTGAGATGTAGCTCACGAAAGCGTAGCTCATGCTCAAATAAATTTGTTAGTCTCTAAGGTGCCACAAGTCCTCCTTTTCTTTTTGAGCTAATTAACTCTTTCTGGCCCTGTCACCTTTCAATGAGATATTACATTACACTCATAACGTCACGACGTGTCATAGCTTTCTAAAGTTTCAAAGGGTCGAGATAAAATAAGGGCTTGTGAATATACAAAACCTACAAAAGCAAACAGTATACATATCTGAATATTAGATTCACAATAAAAACAATTCTAAAGAGACTAGCCAAGGCTTTCTAATTGTTTAAAGGACAGAGATAAGAATGCTGGCATATATTGCTCCCCTTCTTTTTTTGTCCCTATATTTAACTTTTATCTGAAAAAACATGATCCACCCTTCAAAGGAGCAGGCATGCAGATTCCTTTATTTACAAAATCTAAGTAAATTTAGTAGTTAGGCTTTTATCCGTTGAATTCTGGACCAGGATTAAATTTTCCTCTTTCTACGTAATTCCTTTAGCATCTCTCTTTAAAAAATGATAGACCCTTATGAAAGACATGCCTAACCTTTATATCCATTTCCCTTATTCCATTTACTCAAGGTAATGCATTTTTTCATAGTCTTTTATATTTACTATTAGCTTAAGCTGTATCAGAGGTGAAAGTAAGCCGGTACCCCCCGGTACTGCGTACCGGTAAGAGCCGGTGCGCCATACCGGGACCGGCTTTCCCAGACGGCAATTTAAAGCCCTGGGGTAGCGGCGGTGGGGCTGCGTTGCGGATTTAAAGGGCCCTGAGCTCCAGCCGCTGCTACCACCCCGGCCCTTTAAATCTCCACCTTAGCCCTGCTGCTGAAGCTCTGGGGTAGTGGTGGCGGGGCTCTGGCAGGGATTTAAAGAGCCCTGGAGCTCCAGCCCCACTACCGCCCCAGCCTTTTAAATCCCCGCCGCTGCTACCCAAGGGCTTGGGCAGCAGGACTCAGGCAGGGATTTAAAGGGCCCCGGAGCTCCAGCTGCCACTACCCCCCGGGGCCCTTTAAATCCCAGCCTGAGCCCTGCTGCCCGAGCCCTAGGGGGAGCAGCGGCAGGGTTCCAGAGGGGATTTAAAGGACTGGGGCGGAACGGTGGCTGGAGCCCCGGGGCCCTTTAAATCCCCGACAGAGCCCGGCCACCGCTACCCCAGAGCTCGGGCAGCAGGGCTCAGGCAGGGATTTAAAGGGCTCGGGGCTTCGGCAGCCGCTACCCCAGGCCCTTTAAAGCTCTGCCAGAGCCACAGGGTAGCGGTGGCAGCTGGGAGCCCCCAGGACTCCTCAGTGATTTAAAGGGCCCAGGGCGCCACTGCGGTTGTGGCAGCTGGAGCCCTGGGCCCTTTAAATCGCCCCTGAGCCCCAGGGTTCCCAGCCGCCTCTGCAGCTGGTAGCTCAGGGGTGATTTAAAGGGCCCTGGGCTCCTAGCCACCACTAGCGCAGCTGGAGCCCTGGCCCTTTAAATCAAGATTTAAAGGGCCCGGGTATTTAAGGCCCTGCCTCTTCCGGTTAAGGCCACGCCTCTTCCAGTTGAGGCCACACCCCTTGCTCAGGACTCTGGCGTACCGGTAAGTCCTCTTTCACCCCTGAGCTGTATCAGAGGCACCTTAAATGTTGTAACATTTTAAAATGACAAAGTTTAAAAAGTTAACAAAAAAATAAACAAATACAAATAAAAAAAAGCACCAACATCCACTCTTTCCTTGTCTTTCCCAAAAGAATTAAGCATACGTTCATACCAAATTGTACACTATTTTATAAACTGCCTCAAGTATTCATTCAAGTTATTTTTGTTCTATAGATAAGTCATTCACACATGTTCATACTTGTTTTTCAGGATTATTTTATACCACACACACACAGCCTAACAAAGGAAATCTGTTGCCTGTCTGAAGTCAATGACGATCTGAGATTGTTGAACAACAAGCTCAATTGGATTTAATGAAAAATCAGAGATTAGTACAGCACTATACAGAATACAGAAAGAATAGATACATTACCACTCTTTATATAAGATGAAGAACTGGTTCTGTGTCCCTTTTTCATGGTAACTGTTGGGATGCATGGTTTCATTTCACAACTAAGTTCCAAAAATTCTGTCATTATATAGGGATTTTAGACAAAAGCACACATTTGCCAAGAATATTCTGCCAGAACCATATGTTATGATGTTGGGTTTTTAAATATACGTACATTCTCAATTTACCTGATTGATGTGTGAAGGCATAATTGTTTACAGATGAGAGGGCCAACATTCTTCAAGATAATATCTCTCAGTGGGTCCTTCTTCCCCCATAATCATTCTTCCCTTTGGGTCCCCAATAGGAAACATGTGCTGTAACAATCATCCCTCATCAATCTCCCAGGTTTATAAATGCTTACATATAATATATTTAAGAGAATGGTTCCAAGTATATCTGGAGTTTTATAGACATGGAGCTGCCACGGATTATGAGATACAGCCTAATGCATAGAATTCCTGAATAGGGTTACTTACAGGTTAAGAACCAGTATTCTGAGCCTTAGAATTGAACACACTCTTCGTTAATAACATAAAGATTCTAAAGAATAGTTAATATATATAACTTAATCAAATATACAGAAAGAAAAGGACTAACAGGACTGATATTTACTAACCGGTACTAACAAATCTAATAGTGTAAAACTGGTTAATACATCCATGTATGAGATAAAATGCAGGCCTAGCTTAAACTATTTTATGTAAAAAGAGTTGATAAAACTTTTCACTACTTCTTCCACAAACTATACCTTTTTTGTTAAGATAAACCCGTCAGTATTTAAGGTATGGAATGTAGACTAACTAAATTAATTAAACTTGGATTTAATAAATAAATAAAATGGGAATGACGTATTAGGGAAAATTATATTTTATTATCTGAGGGACAGTAGATGCGTTGCATATTAAGAAAATTTTGTTATGACACAGTGGCCAGACTTTTAAAGGTAACATGAAAAAACAGAGCATGAGGATAAGAGAATTGGTCTGGATTTTTAGGGCCATTCTAACAAAAGTTTGAAATCTTTATTTAGAAGAACATTTTTGTATACATTCATTGTTAGTTGTCATGCATTAACAAGGGTAAACGTATGTCAAGTAAATAACAGTTACAAAGGCATCAGGAGGAATGAGTACCCATATTGGTCAAAATTGCAAGACCGGTCATTTCTGACTGAGATGAAAAACTCTGAAATATAACCAAAAACCTT